AAAACTTGCAATATTAGATACAAACAAAGATATTTATGAATGGACAATTCCATCATCAGCTGATTCTTCTCCAAACTTATATGCACATACTGCAGATTTGTATGGAAATTATATGATAGTTACTTTTGGTAAACAAAATTTATTATGAAACCTTTTATTAAATATATATTATTAAATATTATTTTATATCTTCGTTCTCAGGATATGATGCGGATAATTCAGATCTGAATTCTCAAATATATCTTTTTGATGTAACCCATTACACATGGGTCACAACTTATACTCCTCCTCCTAAGCAATTTTCAAAAGCTTTAGCAATTGGATTAGGAGTAGGAGGAGGAGTTTTTCTTGTTATTTTGGTTTCAATGGGAGTTAACTTTTTCAAGAGACATAAACATACTTCTATTCTTAAAATATCCGGATCTGCTTCAATAATTTAGATTTTTTAAGAGATAATATTAAATAGCTTATATTAAAGTATTTTTATTAAATTTTTTTAAAAAATCATGTGTTAAATATAATAATGTAAAATATTTTGTAACTTTGTTTTCACAACCATTTATTTAAATTCTTCGATTTAGTACATGAGGCTTGCTTAATGTTAATATACATTTTATTTTAGAAATATATAAATTTCAATTTAATTTAATTAATTTTAACAATGATATATTATATTTATTCCAACGCATAAAATTTAATTTAATTTTATTTAAGCGATTCATCAAATGAAAATTAAAAATAAAGCTAAAAATATGGTATAAGCTTTCCTTTACTTATTATAACCGTTCATATTTTGTAAACCTACTGGAATGTAATATATGAACATTTTTGCAACCGATTCTACATTTTTTCATTAACGAATTAAATGCGAGGTGATGAATTGGGCTACCAGTAACATACTTTTTTCTGATTCGAAATATATTTTTAGATTTGTCCATTTAGTCCTGTTATAGTTAGTACACTAGATGATGATATCCAAATTTAGTATATATATATGGACTGCGCCAAAAGTTACTAATTATACAGCTCGGAAATTACACAAATGTTTCAAACAGTATCACATATATATTTTAATTGCTATTTTTTGGATGTCGTGGAAAGTATAATGTCCAAAGCTTACAATATTAAATACACAAAACAAAACTCGTATTCTTGATCTATTAATTCTTTTGTAAATTATGTATCAAGTATCAAATAATATGTTCTCTTAATTATCTTATTTTAGATAAAAACTTACCCAGTAAATTGATTATATTTTATATAAATTGATTATATTTATAATAATCTTCAGGAGGTCACTAAAATTAATAAAAATGAAACACGTTTAATACAATATATATGTTGCAATGTGAACAATGTCAATTTTTGTTTATGGATCAAAAGTCAAAAAACAATGGAAATTGGTTGTACATAAAAAACGAATATTTTATATTGTCAACACTATAAGATGAACCTGGACGTGTTTTTTTTTTCACTTAGAATCAATTCAATCATTCCCTTTTTTCTTTTTTTCAGAATTAAAAAAATTCCTATTATAAAAATGCTTACATATAGTCTTATAATTTTTTGTATAACACTGTTAATCGATCCAATTTTATGTTATATAACAGATGGTCGATTGCTTCATAATGCTGTAATAATTCATAATCAACTTTTAGTTTTTGGTGGACGGAAATTTAATCAAAGTAATAAGCCTATTTATACTTCTGAAATGTTTTATTTGGATTTGACAAAACCATTTGATAACAAAAATATTCCGTGGGATTTGGTCGAAGAAGGAATTCTTCCAGTATATACATATGGTTCAACTTCTGTAGTTAGTATACTTGATGATGATATAATTTATCTAATTGGAGGTTACAGATTAAATATAACTACAAATGAATTTAATAATTCAAATATAAATGTAGTATATATGTATAATCATTCCGCTGCTAGATGGACTCCTCTAGTAGTTAATAATGAGACTCCCAGACAAGAAATTACGGCAGTAATTAATAATAAAGGGACTGTATATATTTTTGGTGGGAATAGGAATAAGAATAATGAGAATGTTACAACGGGAAATCTTCATAATGAAATGCAAACATTTAATGTTTCCACAATGCTTTTGACAGAATTAAATATAATTCATAATCTTCCTTCACCAAGCTGCGCATATACAGCTAATATTTTGACAAACGGAATTATTGTTTACCTTGGTGGGGTTGAGGATGAAGATGGATATTACACATCTCGCTCAGATGTAAATTATGCAAGCATGAAAACAGTAAGTGATAATTATTTACACATAATATAATAACTTATTTTTAATTGCTATTGTTTTTTCATGTTAATGATTCTCTTTTTTTTTGCTATTATCAAATAATCGAAAAAGATTAGGCTCTTTGATACATTAAAATCAGAGTGGTCACAAATGGTATGTAATAATAATATAACAATTATTTATTAAAAATTAATTATAATCTAATAAACTTTTTTTTAAAAAAAATTTTAAGAATGTTATTGGAGGTGATGATATTGCTCCACGAGTATATCATACTTCAGTATTAAGTAAGTATTATAAATTATAAGATTATTAAAATACTTGGTTAAGAATCTTTATTAATACCAAAATATTTTATACAGCTACAGATAGGTATATTATTTTATTTGGAGGTGTTGGACGGGGTACTAAAAATGTTAGCCCAAAACTTGCAATATTAGATACAAACAAAGATATTTATGAATGGACAATTCCATCATCAGCTGATTCTTCTCCAAACTTATATGGACATACTGCAAATATATATGGAAATTATATGATAGTTACATTTGGTAAGCAAAATTTATTATAAACTTTTTATTAAAATATATATTATTAAATATTATTTTATATCAATTCATATTCTCATTCTCAGGACAAGATATGGATAAGTTAAGTCAGAATTTAAGTCTGAATTCAAGTCTGAATTCTGAAGTATATCTTTTTGATGTAACACATTACACATGGGTCACAACTTATACACCTCCTATAATCACTAAGTCATTTTCAAAAGGTTTGACAATTGGATTAGGAGTAGGAGGAGGAATTTTTCTTGTTATTTTGGTTTCAATTGGAGTTATTTTTTTCAAGAGACCCAAACATACTTCTATTCTTAAAATACCTGGATCTGTTTCAATAATTTAGATTTTTAGTAGATAATATAAATAGATTATATTAAAAGTATTTTTATTAAAAAATCATGTATTAAATATAATAATGTATAATATTACTTGCATTCAACATTTTGTAACTTAGTTTTCACAATCATTTATTTAAAAAACTTTGATTTTAGTACATGAGGCTTGCTTAATGTTAATACAGTGCAGGACACTTAAAAACTCCAATAAAATTGGTTATACACAAAGATTACATTAAAAAAAGGAGGCAGTCATTTTGAAACTAAGCATATATTCTACAAATTAGTAGCCTTTTTTAAAAAAAAAATTCTTCTTTCTTGATTTTGAAAATACCCCATTCGAGACAAAGACGTGATTTTATAAACATGTGATTGAAATTCGATTGGTTAATTATGTGCACAGGTCGAAAATTATATTTCGGATATCTATCGGTGTATGATTGGTCCCGAAGTTCGGGGACTTCCGATAGTGCCTGATATGGTTGTAATAAATAATAAAAGTTTTTTAATTTATAATAAAATCGTTCAAACGCTTCCAAGTAAACTTGTAGATAATAACAATTTACATCATCTATAAAAGTTTTGGTCCTATTTAATTAAAATTAAGAGAATTATTGATGTTTTAATTCGTACGACCATTCAATCTTTGATTACTTCTCAATTTTAATTAAATTTTTTATTATCTATAAGTCTACTTAGTAGTGTTTTGACGATTAAGTTATATAATTAAAACCTTTATATGTAGCTACGATCGCAAATTACTTTCGATTTTATATAAATATACATTAGTACAGCCGTTCAAACTTTGATCAATAATAATTCTCTCAATTTTAATTGAAATTTTTACAGACGATGCAGATTTTATATTGTCTACAAGTCTACTTAGTAGCATTTTGACGATTAAGTTATATAATTAAATCTTTTATATGTAGCTACGATCGCAAATTATTTTCGATTGTATAACCAACAGCTCACCATAATATAAAATCGAAAATAATTTGTGATCGTAGCCACATATAAAAGTTTTTAATTATGTAACTTAATCGTCAAAACGTTACTAAGTAGACTTGTAGATAATAAAAATTTGCATTGTCTGTAAAAATTTTAGTCTGTTACACCCGATAGGCCATATACCCATCTATCGGGTACCTATCGGACCAATCGGGTACCCGTTTTTCGGCCTGTGCAACTGGTTAAATCACAAATTTGATAATGTTCATATGATATGATCATTTATAGGATTTGCATTACAGTTATCTGTATTTTTAAGAATACATTTGAGATGTTTCTATTTACTTTTACTTTTAGCCATTGTTATTGTATAAAAGATTTGTGGTAATCCAAAATTTTGTACTATTGTAACTATTGTATTTAAGTGATATTCTTTTTAACACCAAAATGTATCTCCAGTTAGAATATATGAATGTACAGTTGTTGTCTTGATTCTATTAATAATTGGAACATCAGAATAAGTACTATTTGTATTTAAATTTGATATAGTTCTCAGTCAACAGTTCTTTGCCTTAGCTTTTGTATATGATTTTTTAATTTTCCCAAATTTAAATATGAAATATGTGACTTAAACAACATGTGTAATGTAACTACCAAAAGTATCAATATTTCAATATTTATTTGATATTCATGAAATCAATGAAAAAAAAGATTATCAATATCTAATACTAAGGATCATAAAATGAACAAATTAAATTGTGTGTTACGGAATTAATATTCAATTACAAAAATCAGATTTGGAAATGTAATTATATTACCATATTTATTATACATCCGACATTATACAACATTATAAACATTATGCATGATTCTATTCAAATTTAGAGATTAATCTAAACTGTTTTTAAGTCTTTTTTCGTTTTTTAATTTCACTAACTTGTTGATAACTTCTTCCAAATTAATTGTTTGTCCCTTGGATTTAGTACCTGCATCATCCCTATTTCGAATATTAACCGAATTGGTAGCTTCCTCTTCAGCACCCACAACTAAACCAAATAAATAAATAAATACATATAAGTAAAAGTGTAGAGAAAGAAAATGTAAACATGAAAATTAGAATTTAAATACTAACCAAAAATAAAATTGAATTGAGCAACTTCGGCATTGCGGATCTTTTTGTTTAAAGTGCTTTCACCCAAATCAGTTTCAACATATAAACCAGCATCAAAGCAATCATTCGAAACTTTTTTTACATAATCGCTAAAACTATTTGTGATAGGAATAATCATCACTTGTCTAGGCGAAAGCCAGAAAGGCCTTGAAAAAGTAAAAGTAATATAATAATTATTAGATATAAATAATATTAAATGATTTTCAAAATGGTTGTAGAAAAGAATACCATTTTCCACCAAAATTTTCAGTTAAAATGGCAATCATGCGCTCCACGGAACCTAATATAGCACGATGAATCATAACGGGGCGAGCGTACGATTGATCAGTTTCATTATTTGTTTGGGTTCGATACTCAAGTCCAAACCGTTCGGGAAGTTGAAAATCAAGTTGTAACGTAGCACATTGGTGTTTTCTTTTTAAAGCATCCGAAATTGTGATATCAATCTGATTAATATTAATTAATTAATCAATCAATAAAATTAGTTTAATAAGAGAATTAAAATTATTAAATATTTAATTATTCATACCTTCGGACCATAGAAAGCACCATCCCCTGGATTTAATCCCCAAGGTTCACCAAATTTATTAAGTGCATCCTCCAATCTCTGAAATACATATTTTATTATTAATAATAATCATAATATCGTAATAATTGCCGAGATTAAAAATAAAGATGAACTATCGATTAACCTTTTCGGCCTCATTCCAAACTTCAATAGTTCCCAAGTGCTTTTCAGGACGTGTAGATAAATTGAGTTCGAAAGTAAAACCAAAAATCGTGTATACATGTTTCAAGAACTCCAAAGCAGAATTAATTTCTTCTTCTACCTATAAATAGATTGATGTGTGAATGAAGATAATTGATAAAAAAATTTTTACAAATTCACAAAGTCCAACAAACCTGGTCTTGACGACAAAATATATGAGCGTCATCTTGTTGGAAACGTCTTACACGCGTTAGCCCTGATAAAGCTCCACTTAACTCATTACGATGCAATACCCCAAAATCTGCAAGACGAATAGGTAATTCGCGATATGAACGATCGCGATGTTTGAACATAAGACAATGTCCTGGACAATTCATGGGCTTCAACGCAAACTTTTCTTTTTCAATTTCAAAGCAAAACATATTTTCCTAGATTTGTAGACATAATGTTACATTTAAGAGATATTAATAGTAAATAAAATAAAGAACCAACCTCATAATTCTGTAAATGTCCTGATTGTTCCCATAATTTAGTATTATACATATTTGGTGTGATTACTTCACTATAACCTCTCTTTCGGTACTCCAACTATGAGAGATATTTTTAGTAATCCTTGTCGTATAAAAATTTCGTAACGAGTAATATAAGGCTTATTATACCTTTAAAAAATCAATGAGCGTGTTGTAAATTCTAGCACCATTTGGAAGGAAGAAACAACTACCGGGACTTAATTCATCAAAAAAGAATAATTCTTGTTCCTAAGAGAGAATAAATTTTGAAATTAAATTTTAAAAAAAAATAAAATTCGAAAAAAACAAATATAAAGGATTTCACATAATATTTTACCTGACCAACTTTTTTATGATAACGTTTTGCGGCCTCCGCAACAAAATTCTTATATTCAGTCATTTGTTTGGAGTCCGGAAAAGAAATTCCATATATACGTTGAAGAGAATCATTACTCGCGTCACCAAGGAAATACGACGAAGAATTCTTTTTTATAGAATATAATTTTTAAATTTATTTTTTAATAAATTCTTAACATACATTATACACTGGATAACTAATAAGTTTCAGACTCACCTTGGTAACTTCTAAGGCTTTAATTTTTCCTGTATGAGGAATGTGTGGACCAAGACACAAATCTATGAGAGGACCACATCGATACACAGTAGTTGATGTTCCATCAGGAATTTTTGATTTGATAAGATGAACTTTATATTGGTTATGCTGTTAAAATTTATATTATTGAATACATATTAGAAAAAGAAAAAAGACTTCTAAATTATAATAAACAAAGAAGTTGAAATAAAATAATACTTGAAACATTTCCAATAGATTTTCTTTAGAGAGAAGTAACCTTTCAAAAGGTTGCTTTTCTTTAGTAGCTTTAGTTGTCAACTTCCTAAGAGATTCATAATCATTTTGACTAACAACTCTGTAATAACACGAAATAATAAATGATAAATAGAATAAAAATAGAATATTTACACATAATTATAAATAAATTAAAATGTACCGGTCTTTAATTGCCATCTCATAATAAAATCCATCATCTAATGGAGGACCAATGCAAAGGTGACAACCATAATGAAGTTCACATGCTTCACCCAGAACGTGGGCACTTGAATGCCAAAACACCTTTTTTCCTAATAAATTTAATTTTTATTTTTATCATATAAAAAAAGTCAATAAAAATCATGGTGGAAAAATAATTTAATTTATTTTACCTTCATCGTGTTCAAAATCTAGTAATTCTAGAGTACAATCAGATTCCAATGGTCGACATAAATCGAATAATTCATCATTGACCTAAAATTAATAGGACCAAAAATTATATTGATTTGTTGGATTGTCTTAAAATAAAAATAATATTAACAAACCTTCGCAATAACAATACGTTCAGATAATGATTTTGATATCTCCTTTGCAATGTCCATGGGAGTTGTTTCCCATGAAATTGCTTCCTTTTTATTACCGTCAGGGAATATTACAGTAATCGGAACACGCGGTTTCTCTAACAAACATTTTCACGTTTTCAAAAATCATGTTGGTTATTAATGACAGTGATAATTGGAGAGCTCTTACTCCTGATTTCTTCGTCATAAGTAGCTTTCCATTCCTCAAATAATCTAATGCGATGAGATAAATACTCCGGAGGTGGATTTAACTGAAATTTTATAAAATAAAAATTATTATTTAATCTCAAAGAAAAAAAAAGAAAAAGGAAAATGTAATTAATTACCTCTAATGGAAAATCGCCATTTCCATCAGTTTCCTTTTGACTTTTCTTACTCTTTTTTTTTGTTGCTTCTTGAACAATAATCTTTTTTACTTCTGCCATTTTCTAATCTAATCTAATATTTTACCCTAAAAAGATCCATTATGTTTCATGCGCGTAAGTGTTACACGGAAAACACATGGTTTGCGCAAATCTCGTGTTTTTCCCAGAACATCAAATCTTTTTCGTAATAATGTTTATAACGGACAAATATATTATTTAAGCTTCGGTTCATTTTTTCGATATTCTTAACATCTGCAATCATTTAAATTTAATCAAATTTACCTATCTCAAAAATATTGTCATAAAAAATTTTTTAGCGTCCAATTTTTTCAATATGATCAAAATTGGATTTAACATTGGCATATAATAACATGGGTCATTAGAGAAGCATTTTATTGTGTAAATATGTGTAGCGTACATTATTTACTGCTGTTATATTGGAATTTTGTGTAGCTCTTGGACCAATTGTAAACACAGATTCACTTCCCTACCTTTTCTTACCAATTTTTTTAGTACATTTATTCTTATTATGTTATAACTGTTGATGCTGAAATAATGGGTGAAAACCAAAATAAAAAAGATCTAAAAGTAAGAACTAATCACGTGACTTATAGCTACTTTTTGAAATAATTCATGTTTAATTAATATAGGTATGATAATAAACTGTACAGTACGAAATGCTATTTTGTTCTGTACAATTTTACATAAAATTTCACAAAATTCGTACAATACAGTACACCTTATTATATATATATTTAAATTGTTCTGTATAAAATTTTTTATGTTAAAAAACTGTACAGTACAGGTATTTTACTAAATATAAACAATTAAATAATAAAAAAATGTGGTGCACATATTATTAATAATATTTTAAATTGAATTTATTAATTTTATATGTTTGTTATTAATCAAATAATTTTTAATCC